TACTCTCATTTCTTTGCGGTAATTATTTTTCTTTTTTAAGTTAGTCATTAGCATTTCCCTATCTTTCCTCGAATGCCCATTCTACCCCCATGTCTTTATACTGTAAGTGGAGAATTTACACACACGGCATCCAAAGCCTACTCAATTTTTAAAGTTTTAATTTTCTGATTATAAAGGTAATACGTGCTTATTGTAGAACATTGGGAAAATTCAGAAGAACATAGTAAATAATATAACACTGGACAACTACTGATTATATTTTTTTGGCATAAATTATTCTAGGTTTCTCTCTGTTGCCTTCAGAATGAATATTGAAAACATGTTTGCTAATTTGGTAGGGAACGAGTCATCTTTTAACTTGCATTTCTTTGCTTATTCATGTAGCTGAATAATATTTCAAATGTTTATAGGCCGGCCCTGGCCTATGTGGCTCAGTAGGTTGGGCGTGTACTGTGCACCAGAAGATTGCTGGTTCAATTCCTGGTTGGGGGCACATGTCCAGGTTTCAGGCTCAGTCCCCGGTGGGGGCATGAGGGAGGCAGCCAATTGATGTGTCTTTCTGACATGGATGTTTCTCTCCTTCTCCCTTCTCCCTCTCTCTTAAAAAAGGGTCAATGGAAATAGTTTAAAGTTTTGTTTATAGGCTATGGTCCATTTCAAGCCCATTTTCTCTAGCTGGCCTCCCTTGAGTTTTCCATACTAAAAACACTAATTTGTAATGATCTAGTTTTGCATATATATGTTTCACTCTATAACTAGATTGGAAGCTTGTTGTGTGGTCCTGGATAAATTATTCAGTTTTACCAAGCCCACTTTCCTTATTGGCAAAATAGTGATAAAAATACTTACCTTGCTGGGTTGTAGTGGGAATCAGAAATAATGTTACCAAGGTGAGTTCAATAAAAATTGGATTTCTAAAAACTTATAGCTTTAACATTCTAGTGCACAGGAGGTGTTCATGTTTGTATAATATTTCAAATGAATAAACAACCCTAGCATCCCATCCAGTTTAGATATTTATTAAGCATCTATGACACATAAGGCACTGTTCATAATCCTCAAGGTCTCTTGAGCTTTTATTATGTAGATACGTTTCTCAGATAAACTGTAATATCTTCCTCACCCTCAGCAAATCTCTTATTATTCTGTTTCTGCCACCATGCCTGACTTATCATAATAGGTGCTGAATAAATGTGTGAGCTGAACTAAGTAATTAGTTAGTTAATGATTAGTGAGAGAAAGAAAGGGGGAGAGAGAAAGAGAAACATCCACCTGTTGTCCCACCCACCCATGCATTCACCCTTGATTCCTGCATGTGCCTCCATCCGGATCACACCCGCAACCTGCAGCCTTGGCGTATAGGGACAAGGCTCGGACCAAGGCTGACCTGAATAATTTAGTGTGAAAAGGAAACTCACATAAATTAAAATCTGATAGGCTGCGACGAAAGCCATAACAGGTACAAAGTATTTTGCATATTGGGAGATAAGGAGAGGTTAACCTTTAAAAAATCCTCACCTGAGGATATGTTTGTTTTTTAAAGATTGACTGCCTGGAAGCAGAATGACAAATCTTAGTGGGAGGTGTTTGAAGAAAGAGAGAGAAACATCCATCGGTTGCCACCCCTACGCACCCCGATCAAATCCACAACCTAGCTATATGCCCTGACTGGGAATCGAACTCGCAACCTTTTTTTTAAAAAATATATTTTATTGATTTTTTACAGAGAGGAAGGGAGAGGGATAGTTAGAAACATGAATGAGAGAGAAACATGGAGCAGCTGCCTCCTGCACGCCCCCTACTGGGGATGTGCCTGAAACCAAGGTACGTGCCTGAAACCAAGGTACATGCCCTTGGCCGGAATGGAACCTGGGACCCTTGAGTCCGCAGGCTGATGCTCTATCCACTGAGCCAAACCGGTTAAGGCGAACCCGCAACCTTTTGGTGTATCCGATGCCACGCCAACCAACTGAGCCCCCCTGGGAGGGCAAGGAGAGACTAATTTTGATGACAGTATCGGGGGATGCCCTGTGGAGCTGGTAGATCTGACCAGGACCTGGATAAGGACTGAGGAAAGGGGCTTCAAGAGGGAAGTATGAGTTAAGGTAGAGTGGGTCAGTGGGCCCAGATGAAGCAGAACAAAAGTAGTTGGTCCTATAGTTTGGCTTTTGATGTGACCAGTGGTTATAATTGCAGCTGTCAAACATTTCTGGAAAACGCCGCTTTCAATCTGGCTTTGGGCGTGAGGGGAGGGCAGGCTGCAATGATCTGCAGGTGGCAACTACGGGGAGAGGGAGGACGGCGGACACCTTCGAGGGAGCAGGAGACCTACTGGCCAATGTCGCCCGCGAGGAGGAGGCTGCGGAACGACGCTTTTGGGGACTCGGCCCACAGCTC